TAGGATTTTTATTGGAACAAACTTGGTTGACACTTCACTCGGATGGTGTTTCATGAAAATTAGTTATCTAAGCTCTAGCTTTTTAAGGTTTTTTAAAGATAAGGGGTGAAACAGGTAGTGATATAGAATGTGTACTCGACTGATGACATCTACGTTCAGCAGTAAATATCTGTATTTTTCAAATCAAAAAGTTCAAATTTGTATAAAAAATATTTTAGTATGTATGATCAATAACTAATACGTAAATTCACATATTTTTCTAAAAAAAATATGCATTGTCCTTCAAGACTGCAACATTGGGACCATAGACCAAGAACCCTGATATTTTTGGTTGTTTTTGCAGGTTTGTTAAAAGTGTTACCCTCAAAAGGAAATATAGGATCATGTATTATCATACAATGTATGTTAAATATTTTTTACATACCAGTGCTCTTGGGTCACAGGGATAATATCTCTGTCAAAAATAAAATGGTGTTTTTCCCACTGAAAAAAACAACAAAGAAATCTCCACATTTTTTTTCTTTTTTTCATTGTTTTCATGGACAGGTTAATCCACGATTTAAGTTAAATACACAACATCTAACATAACATTTAAATCTATGAAAAGTATAACTTTCTATAAAAACCAATTTATGCCCATAAAATTTAATGAAAATTCATCAATGAACTAAGGCATGGTGAATTTAAACAGATTCAAGAAGTATATTCTTTGGTCAATAAGCCTGTTGCAATGTACAAAAATTACATGATGCCAAATGCTAAAAGTTTCCAAACAAAAAAAATATGCTTTACAAAAATTTTTGAAAAAAGTCAAAAAGAGTTTTTCCCGGGGAGTTTATGAAAAATTTACAGGGAATAAACTTTTTTATTCTGTTGTAAGTCCCGGGAAAATTTTTCCTCTGAAAAAGAAGTTAATAATTTTAAAAACTAATTTTTTTGAAAAATAAAAATTTGGAAAGGGGTTTTAATAAATTATCCCCAAAAATTAAAAGCGATTGGGGCCCATGAATAAATTTATTTTTTAAATGCCAACACAATATCATTTATTTTTAAATGTTACTTGACAGTTATGAAAAGAGTATAAGTATTAAGCAATTTATACTTAAAATGATTTTGTATGCATGAACAATATTTGGTAATAATTTGTTCAAAATATTTACTTCAATATAATTCTCATTGAGATGAAAATAAATATATTGATGCAAAAAGTACAGTAATTATCAATTTATGTAATAACTGTCTTACCACTATCACTATTTGGTTGTTCTACAACTTCATCATTGGGTTGTTCATCATCATTTATAACTACCACCTAAATGTATATACATAAATTAAATATCATTTGTATGGAAAAAAGCTATCAAAAGCAAAAAATAATACACATTCTAAAGCCTCTTTGAAATTCATTTAACATCACATAAAATAAATGATTAGGAAATAGATATTTTAGTTCAATGTTGTTCTGAAGAAACACATTTCAATACACATTCTGTTCAATTATCCCATTACCCGATATACACGCCTTTTAATGACTTTTTCACCCCCCACCCCTTTTGTTTTTGTTGAGAAATGTGGTTTAAAAAAATGACCACTAAAAATGACCCCAGATCGATCATAAGGTAACGTGTTACCAACGGTAAAAAGCATTTGACTCTATCTCAATCCATTGAGAAGTTGCAGCACTTTGAAATCAATTTTGATGGAAAAAATCGACACAAAATAGTGATTGTTTGGCAATTTTGAAATGTCCCCTAGTTGCCATGGTAACAGGAAATTTAAGCCTGGGTATATTGTTACAAAGGCAATGGTCCAGTAAACATTTGTGCCAAGTTTGATTAGTGTTGAAGCAGTTTTTATAGTTTTATAGCAATTTGAACTTGTGACGGGAGACTTTTCAATGAAAACAGCCATTTTTCAATGATTTGCTCATGAAGTAATAGGTTAATGTAAAACATTCTACAAAACAACAATTTTCCTTCAAATTTATATGTTAGGCCATGTTTTAAACATGGAAAAACGCGATTTTGGCTAATTTCAGGTATTTTTATCATGTTCTGTTAAGGAAATATAAGGTAAAGCATGTCAGAATTACGAATTGGTCAAACAAGTAATTAAGTGACATCAGTCTCAGTGAATACAATCACAATTAAGTACTTCACAATCTTTGCTACAGTAAGATAGATAGATAGATAGATATTTATTCAGGTTAAAAACACACATACATGTATACATAAAACAAACACTTTAGCATTTTATATAAAACTGATGACACAATTGTAATAAAATATTTCGGAAGTTTGTCAGACATAAATATCACAGACGGCTCATTAAATAATAAAATATTATAACTAAAAAACAAAATCTAAAACTCTTTCTTTCCTATGACTAGATATCAATTTACTAGTTTAATAAAATGTAAGGACGTAAGTGGAAACATGTATAGAGTAGTGTGCAATAACCTCGGATTGCCCATGAAAGCCCGAAGGCTTATTTCCAATGGGGTCCTTGGATATATACTTACTATAATATACAATATAAAACACAAAAACATTGAAAAATACAAAACTTTGGAAACTGGAAGATGTCATTTACGTAAAATATCAAACTTTAGTATTTCCATTAACTTTGCTAAAAAGAAAACAATAAAAATGAGATCAATATCTAGTCATACTAGTGGATTTAATTATGATTTACTAACCTAACTGTTCTAGTAAATGGGCCTTCACAGAGCTTTTGAAATTTTCTATCTTATTAATTTTTTTGATGTATGTTGGCAAGGAATTCCAATCATTAATTGCTTTTTGAAAAAAAGTTACATTATCTTTCCCATAACTTCTTGGGACCCTAAAATTGTACTGATTCGACCGAGTTGAATAAGAATGAATGTCTCGAACAGGTATAAAATTTTCTATCATATATGAAGGGCACTGGTTATTAACAATTTTAAAAACATGATTAAGACGTAATTGCTTATTTCTGTTTTCTACATTTAGTAAAGACATATTAGCAAGAACAACATTATTGACACTATCTCTAGGTCCCATACCGTGTATAAATCTAACAATTTTATTTTGACAAATTTGAAGTTTATTTTTAAAACACTTGTTCAGGCTCGGGTACCAAGAAGAACATGCATAATCAAGGTGACATTGTATTAGTGCTGAGCATAAATATTTTCTAGTCCTAAAATCTAAAACATTTGCTTGCCTATACAAAAACTTAAGACGTGAATTCACCTTTGTAAGAATACAATTAACAATAGATTCACCTGACAAAGAATCATCAATATTTAAACCTAGATATTTAACAGATTTTGTGGATTCAATAGTATGTCCATTACAAACAATTTTGAACTCTTTAACTTGTTTTAGTTTACGTTTGGAACCAAAAATAAGACATTCAGTCTTTCCTAGATGAAGTGACAATTTGTTATCTACAAGCCAAGATGAACAAGACTCTAGTGTTTGTCCAAGTTTTTGAGAAATAATACTTGGATTTTTGTGAGCAAAAAGAATTGCACTGTCATCGGCATACAGAATAAGTTTACATTCTTGATCTATACTAATTCTCATGTCATTTACATAGCACAAAAATAAAAGAGGACCCAGGATGCTGCCCTGGGGAACCCCACATGTAACAGGCATGTAATCTGATAAAATATTATCAACACTAACAGTTTGTTTTCTACCTTTAAGATAAGACATAAACCAGTCAGTATTAGAGATACCCATCAATTTCAATTTTCCACATAAAATATCATGGTCAACAGTATCAAATGCTTTTTGTAGATCTAACATTATCATGCCTGTGTATAATCCTTTGGAATTATTGTTTCTGATATGATCCATAAGATGGATAAGACAAGTGTCAGTGGAATAGGAATTTCTAAAACCTGACTGTAATTCATACAATAAACCATTAGCAACTAAAAACTTTTCAAGTTGAGAATACACTGATTTTTCTAAAATTTTTGAAACAATGCTTAAAATGCTTACAGGTCTATAATTTCCTACTTCAAGATTACTGTTCTTTTTATATAAAGGTTTTACCCTAGCTACTTTCATGTCATCAGGGACATAATTTTCTGAAATTGACATATTTATGATAAAAGTAATTGGTATTTTCAAAAATGAAGCTGCATCTTTTAAAAATCTAGCAGGAATTTCATCTAAACCAGTACTCTTTGATGAATTTAAATTCTTAAGCTCTTTATATACAAATGTCTCAGACACATGTTTTAAGTACATTTTATTATTCTTAGTATTTCTATCATTATAAAAATCTAACAAAGCTTGTGAGTCAATGTCAAACTTTTTGCTAGCACAAGGTAACTTATCCACTAGCTTAGAAGCAACAGTAGTAAAAAAGTCATTAAAATGATTAGCAATTTTTAAAGGATTATGACAATTTTCACTATCAATTTTTAAAACAATATTTTCATTCCCTGTTGTTTTGGATTTATACCCCAATTGTTTTAAATGTTTCCATAGGCCTTTTGGATTATTTCTATTTTCAGCAATTTGATCAGTAAAATAAGAAGACTTAGCATGTTTTACTTCTCTTTGAACAACATTTCTAAATTTACAATAACAAGAAAAATCTTCATGGCAACCATATTTTCTAAACTTGTATAAATAATGATCTCTTGTTTTGATATGGTCTAAAATCTCTGATGACATCCAAGGTTCAGTTCTCTGTTTTAATCTAATTTCTTTAACAGGAGCAATGGCATTCAACACTGACATAAAAATATCTTTAAAAGCTACCCATGAACTGTTTACATTATCAGAATAAAAACATTTACTCCAGTCTGCTTGACCTAGTTTTTCAATAAACAAATCTCTACTATAATTTTTTACACATCTAACTTTAGAGAAATAATGTTTTGAGAAACTTTGTTTGCTGATTTTCCTTGTACAAAAAGTCAAAAAGTGATCACTAAGGCCAATAGAAATAACACCATATTGACTTAGCCTATCTTTTGAATTGGTAATGATATGATTCTTCTGTGTATTGGCTACACCTATGCAGTCTGGGTGATACCAATTACTGCACCCTTCACATTGCCTGTATTTGCTGCAGGAAAACAATAACAATGGTCACACTGGCTTACAGTATATAAAGCTCAAAAGTAACTGTTTAAAGCAGTAATGAGGCTCTGCACAGCAGTAATTTCATAATCCAGTTTGCACAGTCAGAATTAAAATCACCTTGTATATTACATATAACAATAATTTTGGAAAGATATTTCACATACAATTAGTTTCATTGAGCACAGTTTTCTTAAAAAGGCATATGAATTTACCATTTCATTTATAATAGGTAGAATAGGCCGGTGTCCATGACCAACAGTTTAAAGTTTGTTGACTTCGCTTTCAGAAAGTCATTGGTTCTTAAATAGTAGTGCCTGTTACTGCCTGAAAAAAGTATGAAGGGGCATCTGAGGTCTTCCTCCAGTAAAGCTTAATGATGAGATCTTTTCCAGCAACAGTAATATGATCATGCCTTGTTCCTATAAAGATGTTACTTAAACTTTTTTTTAGACAGACATGTGTTGTGATAATTACCGTGGAAAACAATACCAGACAAAGCGATGATTCATCTCTGAATTCTTTGGCAATTATTCATAACAATAATTAAAAGGGGATATTATAAATAAAAGTAACACACATATAACACGAAATTATAAATCTTGCTTATGTCTAGCTTGCTTATGTCACAAGACTTTTTTTAAGTAACCTTGTCTTTACATCATTCTTTTTGTTACAAACACAAAATTTTCGTCTTTTCTTCAGGGAGGGATAAATGTAAGATGACATCCTTTTCTAAAATAAAAGCAATTTCAATTCAATTCTTGAAATATACAAGCACTTACAATAACATAACATTTTCAACAGTCTGTGATTTTATTGATTGATCTAAATCATAATTTGTTTGGGTCTTGATGAATACAAGATACATTACAACAGTAAAACTATTATGTACATTTTGAAAACTAAAACAATAAATTATGTGATCAATATATTAGAAAGTCATTTCATATCATAAATCATATCACAGATATATATTACAAGGATCAGACATAATGGTTTAGCTTAAAATCGAGTCGCGCTCATGCGCGGAATCGCACATCGTATAAAGGTGGACAGAATGAGAGATGGCGGAATGCGCAGAGAGCGCAGTATGACAGATTTTCACATGAGTATGTGGCGTTATTGCAGCTTTGTGAAAAATTTTACACATATGAATGTATTGATACAGTATTATTTTGTGCCGATAAAGTATTAATATATATAAATATGCCGATAGAATGCTGCAACGCTGAGTAAAAAATAAATTATTACCGCAATTCAGATTAAGATAATTATTTTTTACATGGTTTAAGTTTGCATTGAAATTGTATTACATTTGTATTAATACACATAGTGCATAATGCGGTACACATATAGAAAACTGTGACTTAGTACATAATAAAGTTGGAATTATTTCTTAACTATCATCTTGCTTTTATTTAGATACCGGTTAAGGAATAACTCCCACCGCCAACAGCATCACAAGTACATGAATACATATTGAATGGCACATACCTTAACTGGTTTCCGGCGTAAGAAACAGTCTTTTGTCCTGGATACCTGTAGAGTCTAAACATTAAAATATAAAGACAATAGTTAAAATACTTATTTGCTTATTGTAGAAACATAAAAAACACTGATCAGTAGTTTCAAGGCACATGTCAAATTACAAATGGGAAAAACATTTCCTCCATTACCCGTCTATTCTGCAAGAAGTGGTCTAATGAATATGTCCTATAGAAGCCAAAATATGAATAAATAATTGACAGACACCTTATATCTAAATAACTGTTAAATGAAAATGTATAAATAAATATAAAAGTATAAATTTCACTTGTTTCTTAAACAATTGTACAAAGTCTGTCTGCAGCCCACCTATCTAAAATTATTTAATTCTTTAAAAAAAAAAATTCTTCTCCTATCCTTACCTGATTTTCTGCTGTAATGATTCCTTGTTCCTGTTCAATGTCATTCACTTTAGCGTCTGCAAGACCAATGTCTTCAATCACAGGACTAGTCGGCTGTAATACTGTAACTAAAATATTATTTTTGGGATATCACTTGATGTGCATTTATTAATTAGGTTACAACTGAGACAATATTATTATATTAAACTTTCTAACATTTAACCTCCAGGTTTTGCACAATAAGATTTTTTTTGTCTCCACAAACAAACTTTAGGGGGGTATATAGAAGTCAGCTTGTTGTTCGGTCAGTTGGTCCGTCAGTCTTTAATTAGCCTTACCATGGTAACTCTTTTACTATTCTTCAATTCCTTTCATGTGAACACTGTGTGAAGTTTAAATCAAGTTGTTTCAATAATTTTCAAGTTGTTTTCCTGACAATTATCATTAGGTAGTAAAAAGGGAGATATTTTTTTGAAAAAACAAATTAATGTAGAATTATGGTTCTTTGACTTCCTCCTACTTGTCTCTATAAACATGTGCAGTTCAAAGAAATGTCATTAATAGTTTGTAAGTTTTACTGCGGACAAGCATTTAAGGTTAAGGAGGATAATCAAACAACAGCTGTCAGAGCAGATGGCAAAGCTTGACATATTACTGGACACAGTAAAGGAAGGCAATAATATGATAAACAAATCAATTATGATATAGATATATGTCTGTCTCAGTATCAAGAACGCACCACTCAAATGTTCAATATATTTAGTAATTGATGTAAATTATACTATTATTGCACTTTACATTTTGTCATAGCATAGTGTCCTTTGTCTTATATAAAAGAACCATATTTAAGAAATATTAATACACTTGTTACTATATATACACGTAGTTACAAAATTGCCTAGGATTTCAACTGATTATGAGAGTCACATGACCTATTATGAGTTTGCGGCCTGGGGCCGAGAACTAGTTATCAGCCCGCTGAACGTGTGCATGTGCACAAACTGAAACAATGACGTCACATTTTATGTCATCAAACAGTTAACTGTAAAAGTGAAAATAGGTTTTAACTTTCGCTTGACTTTATTATGAGAGCTGAAGCATATTTCGTACACACACAGTATTATTACTATTGAAATTTTTAAAAAAAAATAACAAATTCATTCAGAAAAAAAGAGAGAAAATAAAACTTGCTTCTAGATTCCACATTACAGTAGTGTACTTTGAACATACAAAAAGTAAACAGCTCTGTAGAAGTTACTGTACAGTATAGTAGAAATACAGACAGGAATTTCAACGAAAGAAATGTCAAAGTATTTCTTTTTTAGGAAAATGCTACTATTATATCTACCAAGTGTATTAATGACATGAATACACGTCTTAGTTGTGCCAGGTGATAATCGATTATCACCTTCCAGTCCTACTCTGTCGTGTATTAATCTCTTAATATATCCCAAACTGTGATTTTATTGCTCAATAAGTTCTGATGCGAATAATTATATTACAAGGACGTAGCCGCAGCGCATCTGAATGACAAACAGTGATTTCATCAAGCGATAAAATCACCAATTGGGATATATTATTTTGATTTTAACACAACATTAACAAATAAGTGCTGTCATCCCTGATATTAAGCTAAATTGTGCCTAATTTGTTTCCGTACTTATTTCACCGCATCACATTTTTAGTGGTTAAGTCACATGTATATATTTATTACGTCACATGTCTATATATAGAACGCCAACAGTGACTTTATTCCAAATTAACACACATTTTGGGTTCTTCTATGTTCAAAAGGGAAAAATGCGGGTTGTGTTAGGATTGTAAATAACTGCCGACTGGGCTAGGTCAACAATCTCAACATATTTATAATTTTTCCCTTAAGGTTCATATATTTCTTGAATTCATTGTTTTAAGGTGTGTAACTTTATTCAAAATTGGTTAATACACTTTACTCAAATGATATAGAAAAGTAAGCCATCTTGTAGGCTTACTTATAATCATCACACAATAAAAGATAAAGTACATATTGCTCTTGTACAGACAATACTTTATTTGCTACTTATGATAAATAACTTATATGAAGGTATACTAAATCTACGGTATATTACTGTTAAAGTCAAATTTAAATGTCAATCATGTAAAGTTAATCTCAACAGTTTTCCATAACTTGTCAATGGAAGAGTACCTTTCAGAGGCAAAAGCTAATAAATGTATTTAATGAGTTATATGCTTTTTTTACCTAAGAATTTAAATTATATATTCATTGCAGTATGCAAATAGAAGTATAAATTTCACTGTATGATTTAATTTTCTACATCTTCAATAAATTTGGAAAATAAATAATGTTCATAGGTCAAAAAACATCACATGCTGCCAAAGTAGGAATTACAAAAGTTTTACCTCCTTCTCCAAGTATTCGTCTTGCTGTTTTTTTTCCTGGCCTGGACAATATCATCAGAGGTCCAGTAAAATTCCAATGGCACTCCATTGTAGAAGTTTTCAACAAACTTGAAAATGTTAACATTATACAAAATATGGTAAAAGTGATAAAAAAAAATGTTTGTATACAAAATATTAACTGTAAGTTAGATGTGATGAGGATGAACTTTATTTATATAATGTATAATCATGAGACAACACTGTATAATTTCTGCTTATTTTTAAAACTAGAAATGTGTTGTAATGCTGTGAATGCCCCTGCATGCAGCAAAACTTTCAAATTTTATAATAACATTTAGTTTTAAATTGGTATGCACAAAAAGTTTTTTTATTCTAAGTTCAAGGCCTTTAAACTATTCAATCTTAACCTTTTTAGGATGGCTCTATACATCAAATGTTAAAACACTGCATCTAGCAATAATTGTTTTGTGAAATTATTTGAAAATATGTTTGGTCAACTATTACTTAAGCTAAGTGGTTCAAGTATTGGACTTGCAAGTTTGAATCCCTTGTGGGATATATTTAATAAATAATGAAATAAATTGTTATAATTGTTTCAATTCATTATTAAAAAATCGCAATCTTTTTGTTTATTTTTTTCATTCATCTTCATATCGTTCATAATCAAGTATTTTTCTGCTGATTGGAGAGAGTTTTTCAAGGTATATACGAGGGACACATTAACAGCTTCCTTCATATTAGTTTCTGTATCTGCTCTATGAAAAGTAACCCCACAATAGTGCAGTACTGTAGATCTACTACAACTGTCAGACCGATGAAAAGTAGATTTTAAATATAATTTACTACTTGCACTAACTTGCCAGACAATATGAAAATACATGTAAATGTCATTGAGTGACAAATATGTAAATTTTTCAAAGTAGACCTACATTTTCATTTGATTTATCCACATGTCAAATTTGAGTTGAATGGCAACTGTTTCCAAGATAATGAATGGAAACTGATAATGGCGGAAAGACAGAACAGGGTTTCACTATATGCCACGGTCATTTTATGGCTGGGGCATAAAATACTCTAATTTATTTTAATGAAAGTGATAAAACTTAGGTATGACATTACAAGTACTTTTGTCAGTCCAAATTAAAAGAAATACTATTGAACAGGTTTACATTTGCCTTAAAAGTCTGTATAAATCTAATACTCCAGAAAAAGTATTCAAATATATATTTACCTGTATAACATATATTCCACAAGATAACCCATCAAGCTGTTTACTGTGGGATGGGACACCACAGTCCATCCTTCAGGCTGTATAGAATCTTCTGCTGCTTGGAGGCGATTTTGCAGGAAATTGCTGAAGATTTAGAATTCATAGTTTCTTTACAGATAATAACATGCATAACTGTGAATGACATAATGTCCCATAAAGGAATGAAAAAGACCTGAAGTCTCAAGTAAATCTCATATATAAGAAAGATGACACCAGTTTAAAACATATTTATATTTAATAAGAACTGAAATTTCAAAGAAGATATATTTGAAGGTCCACAGATACCTTTCAATTTATAAATAAGATAGAAATAATTCTGAAAACTTATGTGCTTGTCATTAATCCAACATGTATAAAAAGTTATAGTAAAAACTGATAGGTTCAAAAGGGCAATAATGCATAAAATAATTGTGCTAGAGTAATGAACCATATCATATTTAATGTTGCTGATGATAAGCATAAATTAATTTAATTATGGAGTAAATCTCTTTGATGTAAAAACTTCAAGCAAGAAAAATATAACAATATTGATGTAAAAATGTTGGTATTGTAATCATTGTAATCATCGAAACTAGTAGACTTTATAAAATAATTTCAATCTATAAGATGGTGACGTGTGGTTTATCTTAGTCCTCCTCTACCTTCAGTTTATAAAAATTTAGACTTAAAGGGGAGATAATTCTGTAAATAAAGGTGCTTGAATTTGTACTTTATAACATATGAAGTTGGTGATGATACGGAATATATATTCGAAAGAAACTGGAGTATATAATAACATATCTTTGGAAATAAATAAGTAATATCGAAAACATTTCACTGCAAAAAGAATCGAACAGTAACCCAGATGTTGACATGGACACAAGAGAGTGGGTAACAGCTCTCCAAATAGGTTGTTTAGTAAAGCTAAAAATACTGCAAGGGAAAATGGCCACCAAAGATGCTATAATTGTGGCTGTTGAGCATAATACAGAATCATCTTAAAGTTAAGCAAAAAAATAAATTGCAAAAATGCATAACATACCAGTTGATTGATAACTTTTAAAATACTTACAACCAGTATAAAAGGATCTGTTGCTAAGATATCTCTGCCTCACCAAGAGGGTTCATATAAACAATTTTCTTCTCGTTTGGTATGATAATCTGTTTAAGTACAAAATTTTACTATCAACCAGATTTTTTTTCCAAGAATGCAGAAAAAAAGAAATATTTTTCTGTCATTTGAGTGTTAAAAAGGGTGGTGTGCGAACAGTGATAGGCTCTCATAATATGTCAATGGCAAAATGACTTAATCTTTTATGGGTATGAAGGTATCATAATGAAAATACAAAGTAAGAACATTTCCAAAAGTTTCATAATATTCCGTACATGATATTTGTCAACGATTTGTATAAACAGATACCAACAATTAACATAAGTCAATTACTTACAGCAATGGTCCAGTGTAATCCTCCCTCATTAATTGGTCCCACTATGTAATCATACTGTTGTATGCTTTCCTGCAAAATAATAACAGGTTAAATATTTTTGTGTATACCATGCAATTGCTTTCTTGAAGAAGTATTACAAGAAATTCATAATTGCATTTGATGTAGCTTATAAATATCATTCTCTCATCAGATAAGATTTGGTACTAATGTAAACATCACTTTATTTTATACAATTATTCTTAAATTTTATAACAACCCATTTTTAGAATATTTTCTGAAAGTTTGCCTTTCATGACGAAATTATTTGTCTTAAATTGGCAGTTTACAAGAAAATAGACTGCATTCTCCTACAAGCATGAAACTCAGCTCACATTTCAGTATCATAAATAACTGTAAGAAGAGCCCGGTTTGAACCGGTTGATGCTCCCCGTTTTTAACACAGGAAAGTACACCTCTTGTAGTTTCTGAGTTATGTCCTTGGACAAAGTTCAAAGTGCAATAATTCCTGAATAAAGCAAGGCAGAGTAAGTGTTCTTTGCACTGGAATTCTAATAAATGAGATCTATGTATAAATGAGATTCATGTTGATATCTCTTGTAGTTTAGAGTTATCTCCCGGACAAGATTTTTCTAAAAGGGGAGATAATTCAAAAACAGAGCTGAGCAGAGTTATTGTTCTTTGACACTGCACTTTCACCCAATGAGATCTATCTACCTACAAAGTTTAATGTTGGAATCTCTTAATAATTTTACAGTTATGTTCCGGACAAAGTATAAAGTGTAAAAATGAACAAAGGGCAATAACTCCAAAATTAGGTATATCAGAGTTACAGTTCTTGTGCACTGCACAGTTATCCATTGAGATCTATCTACCTACAAAGTTTCATGTTGATATATCTCATCATTTTATAGTTATGTCCCAGACAAGATTTTTCTAAAAGGGGGAGATAATTCAAAAACGGGGTAAAACAGAGTTATGGTTCTTTGACAATGTAATCCTCCTTGATGTCCTCTACCACTGTGTGAAGCTTAAAAAAATGATCTCCAAGGGTTTTCAAGTTTTGCCCCGGACAAGACAACGGACAGACAGACGGACAAGGCGGCGACTATATGCTCTCCTTCAGAGGAGCATAAAGACATACATTTAGGCTATAAAAAAGGCTCACACTGAATTATCTTAGGTTTTGCAGTGATTGAAGAAAATCATTAGTTCATCATATTTCTATTTTTATTACCCCAATAAATATTCCACTAATCTCCCTCTGGCCAGTGAAAATTGCTGTCATTATTGTTGCTGGAACACACCGTATAGAAGAAGTTTGCTGCTTTGAAAGGATATATACTGGCATCCATTACCTATAACAAAGACAACAGTACACATTGAATCTCTAAGAAAAATGTATACTTAAATGTACTTAGGCAAAATTTTAGGATTTAAAGGGATATAATGCGTATTAAGTATTCTTTTCCTGCTCAAGGAAACAACAGCAAGTCCCTGACAGGGTTTGAATCCACATGGCTACTACTAGTAATCTTTTGAGCAAAAAAGTTAACACATATTGCCTAGTACAGGTTGGTTAAAGGACTGACTCTATAGTGTGTCTATATGCTTATAGCTTCCTTCACAATCAAATTACAAGAAGCGGCGCAATGTGACGAAAACCAGGTTTTCAACGACCAAATTTTGATGTGACAGCAATCAATAGGTCAAAGTGCACTGAAGTTATCGAGTAGAAGCTGAAAATTCTATTGTAAGTAAATAACCTTGACCTTGCTCCCAGATATGTAAGTGGCAATCCAAAGCTGCCACTCAGCAAGTTTGGTGTCAAAAGGTCAAAGCAAACTAAAGTTATAACAATAAATAGCGGACACCTGACAGGATTTCCAACGTAGTAAGTAAACTGCCCAATATATTTTTTATTTAACTGAACTGTAAAAAAATGAATAGCTGCATACGGCTGCAAAGACATAAGTCTTTATCCCTCATCAACATTATTTCCACTAAATTGTTTACTTTTCATGATCATTGGTGAAAATGATGACTTCACCACCATTTTGAGCGAGATTTTGACTTTTTGTCGGCTCTTATAAGTACATCAATGCATATTATTCCGTATAATTTAGATTTCAGTAGGCAAGTGACATAAACTTAACTTCTTGTGATATAGAAAATTGAAAATAAACTGATAAAATGTGATTCAAGCCCTTTTTATTAGGTAAAGGCGATGTATGTGAATTGTGCTTCGCGGTAACGCCAGAAAATGTGATTTTTTTCTTATACAGAATTATTACACAGCAGCTGCTGTCTCACATGATTTGACTGGAACCTACAGATGTATATTTTCATTTATTTACTAATGCTGATATAAATGTAACAACTAATCCATGCATGCATATCATGAGAAAGGAAAAATTTGAGAACAATTTTTCTTTAATATGATTAAAGACATTGTTTTATGGTGGAATTTAATGTTGCAACAACATGTAAAATAGCCATTTCACAAAAATAGACATCTTAGTAGAACCAAGGACCTTGTGTGTGTTTAGTTTGTTTATCCTAATCACTGAAAAAATAGCCACATAATAAGGCCAAGTGTATCAAGGACATTTCTTTAGTTAGCTGGATAGCTAAATTACATAAAAGAATCCGAAATGGTAAGACTTACAATGGAGAAGGGATAAAATGGTTAGAAGACAAGGACCTAAACAAACACTTAAAAATGGATGACATAGAAGACATACTACAACATATCAAAATTCAATAGCAACAACTTACCTCATCTGACAAATAGCCCTGTATGTCATGAATAGATTGATTACTGATGCTGTAAGGTCCCACTTCTATTAAAGGAACGCTGTTTGGGGTGGTATGTAAAATGTCTGAAAGAACTATTTAAAAGAAACCTCTTTGTTGAATAAGCTTATTGTATTATATATAATCATATAAGAGTGGCTTCCCTTATATTTATTTACATTGACACCATTCCATATCAATTTTTTTCATTATCCTCCTGATAATAGTGTGTAACCTAAAGAGGTATAATTAAATATATATATACATTAAAAATAGATTTGTTATTATAATTTTTTCCCATAGTGGACATTTGTCCGCACATTCTTTTATTTTATTATATATTTTTACATGCGATGTTTGTTAGTTTTTCGTAAATAATTGCTATATATCACACTGAGAAGTGAGAAAATTAATATTAAATTTTCCCAGCTTTTCCAGGGCAATTAAACATATTTTAAGTTACAACTTTGTAAATCATATGGAAAATAAGACAAATGCACCGATCACTTTATTGTGAACTGGAGACAAATAGATTTAAAAATGAAAGTCCTAAGCTATAATTATAATATACCAAGACCTTGATATATTAATAAAAACAAACCTCTATCAATCTCGTCTCTTTCTTGTGCTTTTGGGCCATCATTTTTTACATTTTTCCTTGTCAAAACTTGTGACTGTTTTTTTCTACCAGGCTTCCTCTTAGCTGGTGCAACTCTGTGGCTGAGAACTGGGCAGCTTGTCCTCAACTTTTCGACAGTACTCTTAAGATTTGTCTTAACTTCCTCTATCACATCATTATCATCGCAGCAAAACAACAAACTCCTCGCCTCTGACAAGTACTCCAAGGCCATTGATCTACTGGATACTACATTTTTGATGACAACTTGTTCTAAATGTTAAGAATGCAATATTATAAGTTGATGCCAATGGACTTAATGTAACACATGTTTACTTGAGGTACTATAAAATATTAATCCTTTATTTTTGTCTATCTTTTGAATCATACATGATATAATTAAATATTTTCATGACATACAGTTATTGACAAAGACTTTGTAAAGCTAAAAAAATAAATCTGCATCTTTATTTTCTGTTATCTTTCAGTTTTTCAAATAATGGTATAGTGAGTTCAGTTTCTATTGAATCACCTGTCAATCATATTATATAATCAAAGCACAGAAGGCGCTGAATTTGTTTGGGTTTCAGAATGTCAGAAAGGTGAAGATTGTGAGATTATAAACCAATTTGTTTGTATAGTGTCACCTATGCTGTTTCCAGTGTTATAACTGTAGTAAATTGGCAATAAGGCTAATTGCATCACTGATATTCAATTCAATGTTTATTTGGCTTAAAATATTTAAAAAAAAGAAGAAGAGCTGCCTCATCTGAGATTTTAACCCCAGACCTATTGCTTCTGAAGCGAGCGTGTAATCCGTGGATCACGGGGAAGTTATAAGAAATAGGCCTGAAGCTAAACATATAATTTTAAATTAGGGATTGTTATCATTATTAATTTCGAGATATTTTGTTCACGGTAAACCTGTTGTTTAACACTGATGTAAATAATCATGTCCCTGTCCTTGAGTCAACATCCTTACTTTAGTTTTCAGAAAATCTAAATAAAAAATGTTCATTTAGGGAATCACAATAATCCAAAGCTTAAGGGAAATAGCCTAGCAATTTTCATTGATTAAAATGATATTCATGCACATAACAAAATTATTTGAATCTGTTACCGGTAATATGCGGAAATGTTAAAGAATTACAAAATATTAGATTTTAATTAAATTTGGAAATAATTTATCTTCCCTCAGAGGTTTGAAAATTAATGCGCTTGTTGTTTGACAATCTTTACGCAGTCATCTATCCTTAATTTTCAGACGTTAGTGTACTTATAAACGGAAGTAACCGCTTCAAGGAATTTGTGATGGACTAATTTCAGATTTTGCATTGAGTAAACATATCAGGATCTGAAATTTTGCTACCATTATTTGTTTGGTCTGATGATCCAAATAAATAAAAATGAACATGCTTGATAAAAGTAACATTACTTGCGATCTTATTTTACTTACAAGCTAAAATCAGATGGCATCTATTGTTACTTTTATCATACATGTTCATTTTTTATATTCAGAAAAAAACTTAGGAAACATTTCCATAGGACAAGTGTACCCCCACACTCCACTGTTTTGTCAATCTATTGACTATAGGTCACACATATTTTGGGCTACATGCAACACAACATATAAATTGAAACTCGTGGGCAAAAAGTTTACAAATACTGAACAAATCAACAAGCAAAATTCAAGGTGAATTCCTACACAGGCTGACCAACAATATTTAACTGTAAGTTATAAATAACTTTTCATTGAAATCACATATGAAAAACTGCAATTTTATTGATAAATAGATAAAAACAATCTTGCATTTCTGTAGTCATTCTAATATAATTTACACTATCCATATATTATAGATAAAGAAGTGCCGCAATGCGACAAAACAAGGTTTTCAACCACCAAGTATTAATGTGACAGGAATTGGGAATGAAATATGCTCCCAAGTTGCCTTTTGATATAAGCTACCCACATTTTTAATTTAGTGTCAATAAGCAAACTCAAGTTATGTGAAGACCTAATTTCTATTTTTACCAACAGTTGACGCCCGCCCGCCCAAGTAGTGTTTTGATATAAAGTACACATATACTAAGTTTTGTGTCAATAGATCTCAGCGAAATGAAGTTATTGAACGGACACTTAATTTATAATTTTAACAACAGTGACCTTGACCTTGATCAAACATATTTAATCCAAAGCTGCCTCATGAAATAAGTTACTTAGATACAAAGTTTGGCATCACTAGGCCAAAGCCAACTGAAGTTATTGAGCGGAAATTAAAATTCTATTTTTAACAACCGTAACCTTGACCATGATCATAGACACCTGGGTAGCAATCCCAAGCTGCGTTTTGATATAAGGTACCGATACACCAAGTTTGGTGTCAATAGGCTTAAGCAAGTTATGTTATTGAGCGGAAACTTTATTTCTATTTGAAGAAACAGTGACCTTGACCTTGATCACATAGACCTGCGTAACAATCCAAAGCTGTGTCTTAATATAAGCTACCCACACACCAAGTTTGGTGTCAATAGGCCCAATCAAACTCTAGTTATTGAGCGGAAACCAAAGTTGACGCCTGCCAGCAACGGTATAAAATTTTCTTATCCTAATTTATGAACGTGAAGAAATAGGATCTTTTCAAAATTTTTCTTTGACATTTTCAGTGCCCTAAGATTAGAAAATTGTATAATGTTTAAAACATAGTACACTGTAACCTCATTTCATGTCTGTATAACCTTATTTTATGAAAGTATATCACTTTCAAAACAGCACTCAGAAGAGCATTACCCTAAGAATAATTTCAGGTTAATATTTAATAAACTTTTTATGTAAGGTATGTTACATACAACAATTATATGTTCAACTCTGACTGCATAAAACATGAATTGTTCTATTGTTATGAATAATGTTATGAATAATGTCAATATCATATAAGTATAAATATTAAATATATTTTATATACCATTATCCACATCTTCTCTTCCATCTTCAGGAAGTGTCTCCATAATATTATTATCTAGTACAAAGCATGGTAAATTTGTATACTCCTCAGGGAGGTTATTCCACTGAATGTACCCTGAAGAAATCAAACTGAGCATATGTTTACATGGCCAACCAGTTTTGCTAAAGTCTTCACAGTTACAACTTGGTGAAGTGGTGTCAATGGTGTATGTCTTTACCCGGAACTGTCCATTTACTTCAGTTTCCTCAATTTCCGGATCATCATCACCTCCTATCCTCTTCATACAGTGATTGATAAACTTTGCTGGTCTGTCATGTAAATATTTTGGGATTTCTTCACTGTAAATTTTGTTCTCTGACCTTCGCAATTTGTTTTGCCGTAAGTAACTGTAAAAAGTGTGTTAGCATATACATATATATATGTATACAGAAATACATATCTATAGTTGTTAATACCTTTTCAAAACCACAAAATGTGACAAATACAAAATCAATCAGGGTATGGTTTGTTACAGGGTATATTTTGTATCCAGTCTGTAGATTGGGAGATCAGGAGATTCAACCAGAACATTCTCTTTGCTAGGGACTGACTTGGCATCATTCCCTGTAACAGGGTTTGACCTCCAAGTGTGACCTTCACCTTTGAGGTTGGGGTGTAAGTGTTGTCTACTAATATGTCGTCTTATTATTGTGAACATTTGTGCCAAGTAAATTCAAGATCCCTTGATTGATGAAGACGTAATGGACTTTAACAGACCATGTTAATCTTTGACCTCCAAGTATAACCTTGACCTTGAAGGTAGGCAACAGGGTTTGCACATGACATATCGTCTCATTATTGTAAACATTTGTATTTCAAAATCTGTAATGGATTAGAAAGTGATGATCCGGACACAACATACACCCTTCAAGAGATAATGTTGATCTTCATTCACCAAGTGTGACCTTTATCTTCGGGGTAGGGATCTGGTTGTTGCACAAGACCCATTGTCTGATTATAACAGACATTTGTGCCATGTTATTTCAAATTCCTTTGATGAATGGCTTATTTATGGTGTGACGGACAGTCACACAGAAGGACGGACAGAGCCTATTTCTTTATTCCTATACCATCCATGTGACAAAATAATTATCTAAAATTTTCGATTTTTGGGGTTTTCTTATAGCATTTCATTCTTCATCATTTCATTGCTAAATCTGTGCTATGTACAGTATGTAACATAAAAATCCCCCATAGATTATACCAGGAATTTATCATCCTTTAAAGATAATTGAGTAGAAATTATTATTGTGTTTCAGGTATTCTAGTCTCTTCTATTCTTTTCTAGTTTGGACACTGTATAATCCCTACATATGCATTCCAATTTGTTAGTGAACAAGTACTCTGAGTTTAAAATGAATATCTTTGATACTTGATACTTTTTGACAATTTTACCTTCACCAAAAAGTTTACCAAAAACTTTAAAGTCAAAAGTGAGAAAAATCAGAAAATATAATTTTCATAAAATGTGCCTTATTTTGCAAAAATGAATTTTAGAATTATCTGCCCTTTGTAATTGCTATCACATGTATATCAAGTTTAAAGTGCAGTACTTGATAGTTACTGAGAAAAAAGACCTCACCAAAAAGGCCAACATGGGCTAAAAATCTGTTGAAAAAGGGGAATTACTGTGCAAATCAAATATTTAGGATTATCTGCCCTTTAACATGACATGTGTTGCCTCATGATAGCCATAACTTGGCAAAAAACCATTCAACCTAAAAACCTGTGTAATATGCACAAGATTTTGAACTATCGATCAATCCTGTAAAGTTTCAATGAAATTGCAGCAGTGGTATAACAGGAGTAGTCCGGACAATTTTCAAAATTAAAATCATGAAAGAGCAAAAACTATGACAAAATCAATGAACCGAAATATGTTAATGAGTTGCACAACTAGACATGGTCCCTAAAATTTTGATGAAATTTCATCAGCAGTTTCGAAGGAGTAGTCCAGACAAACTTCTGTGTAGCTGGCAACACAAAAAAAAACACCTTTTTTATTCAAGGGCAATAACTCAGCCAAAAATCTTCAAGTGAAAAACTTGTGTATTAAGCACAAGTACTTGAGCTACTAATTAATCCTGTAAAGTTACATTAAAATTGCATAAGTGGTATATGAGAAGTAGTCTGGACAAACTTTAAAAAATATAATAATCAAAGGGCCATTACTCTGACAAAATTCATTGAACCATAAAAAGCCGATGATATGCACAACTAAACTTGGTACTGATCCTTCCTGTAAAGTTTGGATGAAATTGCACCTGTACTTAATGAGGAGTAGTCCGGACAAGTTTTGGGACGGACCGACAGACAACGGAGAAGTGATCCCTATATGTCGCCACTACTCCGTAGAGGCGACACAAAAATGGCATTCTTTCAGGACTGAAAACAAGTTTACCAAGTTTGAAGTGAATAGCTTTTATAGTTTCTAATAAAATGTACCCTAACAAAAAGGTTAACCAATGCAAACACCATTGCAGACAAGAGCCACTTTTTATCTTCACTAAGTGGAGAAAAAAACCAACAAAAGTTACCCTGTTTTTCTATTCAAACCAAACAAAACTCAAAAATAGAAAATATGTCAGAAAAAGCGCATTAACATGAAGTTACTAAATTCCTTAGTTTGAAAAAATATCTCAATTGTTAAGGTAATGTTATATACATAATACTATTGTTAATCTACTATAAATCTAAATTTATTCTTTTGGAATACTTACTTTTTTTCTCCATCTGGAAGGAAGTCTTCTATCAAAGAAGAAGCCATACCAACAAGGGATTTGGAACCTCCTTGTCTCTTTAGGTATTTATGCTTAAATATTCGATGTATGGTTTCTACACCATTTGTTGTGTTAATTCTTACTTCATAATGAGTCTGTCTATAGCATCGCACCCATCGCTAAACAATACAAGATTATTTTCATGTACTGATATCTTTATATGACATAAAGTAATTTTCATATGTGTCAATTCCTTGCCATTTTAGGTTCTTAGAATTATCAAATAGTTATATGGGAATTGAAGTAAAGTTGAACAACTTTCTTGCAGATCAGCAAAAAAGGGATAACACCTAATAGCAATAAAGAAAACTGTTTATTTAACATTATTTCTATAGTTTTTCAATTGCAAATAACCAGTGTTAAAAAAATGAAAGATGGAACCAACGAAACATCAAGAAAGTGTTCAGAGAAGATAACGAAGATATTACAATATCAATCATGTGAAATTAATCATATATTTAACAATGCAATAATTTTTTTTTACAATAACTTTATTCTTATTTCTATTTAGATTTTCCTTAAATTTAAATGTATTACAGACTATGACATTTATGCCAATTTATTTAACGAGAGCTGTCACAGCAGACAGCCAAGCTAGGCTAATTAAATACTGGAGGCAGTAAGGAAGATAAAACTGTGAAAGAAAAAAATAATTATGATATAAATATCTTTCTTCTCATGACAAGAAGTTATAGTTGTAAACATAAATTACAATTTCAAGGGGGAAAAATTCTGGAAATAGTCACACTAGAGTTATGGACCTTGTCACACAACATGTGTGTAATGATAAGAAATATATATTTCAAGTTTGAAGTAGATAACTTAAATAGTAAAGAAGTTATAATATTTCTTAAAGAAAATTCTAAGTTCAAAGGGAGATAAATCTAAAAATATTGCTTCAAGAGTTAAGAACCTTGTCACATAAGATCTGCTTGATGATAAGGAATATGTATTTGAAGTTTGAGGTAGATACCTTTAAAACAAACTAAATAAGTCATAGTAAAAAATATGTTAATGTGGAGATAAATCTTGCAATATTGGTGCTAGAGTTATGAATCTTGTCACATAACATAAGGTTAATGATAAGGTACATATATTTGAAGTACTTAAAGTTGATCCCTTTAGAAATAAAGAAGTAACAGTAAAAAATAATATTTTTAAAGTGACATTATGCCCATCAGGGGTATATAGTGAGTGAACGGGTGAAGATCAAAATATGTTTTCATTTTGCCATAATCCCTTTTAATTTAATAATTAAGTTCACATAAACAATAGATAACACACAAATCCAAATGAAATTTCTATAAATATCCGTTAGAATTTACGTATATCACTTAGTTTATAAAAAGAGTGGGGCAGTCTTTTTAAGTTTTAGGCAGATTTATAATTTTATCCTTAACATTTTCCAATATCAACTGTTGGTCAAACACCATTTTGACAGTCAATCTTTAGAAATATAAAATCAATTCAGCTCAACTTGACTATGAAAATATGAGCATAATGTCACTTTAAGGAAGTTTAAAGGGAGATCAATCTGATCTCTGGAACCGGACGACAACGCGAGTAGTACAGCTCTCCATATACTTTGTATAGTCGAGCTAAAAATCCTTTAATACATGACAAAGTTACAGTCTAGACACAAATATGTTTCTTCAAACATTTCTTGTGAGAATGAATACCTCCTTTAATACATGACAAAGTTACAGTCTAGACACAAATATGTTTCTTCAAACATTTCTTGTGAGAATGAATACCTTCAAACTAAAAGAGTGCCTTTGACCATGGAGGTAAGGAGATGGGCCTTTAGAAGCTACACAAAGTTTTGATGTGGTGAAAATCTATGTTAAGTTACTTTAAAATCCTTCAATGCATGACAAAGTTACAGTCCGGTGGGAATGCATACCGTTAGAGTAAATATGTTCAAAATGACCATGACCTTGGAGGGGAACATGGTTCTTGGATGTGAAACGTTGTCTGGAAATAGTAGATATATATGCTAGGTTATTTAAAAATTCTTCCATGCATGACAAAGTTACAGTCCAGATACAAATGTGTGTACCTTTAAACTTAAATTGTGAAAATGTTTACCTCACAACTTTGTGAATTTGACCTATGGGTCTTAGACACAACACATCACCATGATGGAAGACATTTATGCCAAGTTATTTTAAAATCCTTCAATGCATGATAAGGTAACAGTCTGAACACGCTTGTTGTGTCAGTTGTGTACCTTGAACCTCAATGACATTGACCTTTCAGGTAGGGACATAGTTATTTAACACAACACATTGTCTTGATGTGTAAGACATTTATGCCAAGTAATTTAAAAATCCTTTAAAGCATAATAATGTAACAGTCCGGACATGAATGTGTGTACCTTAAAACTGTTATTGCTTCAAACTGTGTGACCTTGATCTTGTAGGTAGGGAGGTGGTTCTTCAACATGACACATTGTCTTGATGTGGAAGACGTATGTGTCAAGGTATATCTTAAAAACACTAAAGGCATGACACAGTTACAGTCCGGATACAAACGTTGGGTTAGTGGCAAGGCATGGACAGACTGTGTGATTTTATTATGCGGCCATTTGAGGGCATACAAAACCTTTTTTGCTAACCAATGGTATTTCATTTGTAAACTTTTTTTGCATTTAAATAATGCCAAACATTTTTAAAGTTTTAAAGCCTGTAATTTGATGTCATTGGAATATCAAATGTTTTAGATTAATAAATAATAATATGACTGTTAATAACTTCATTGTTCTATAGGACTGGAAATATAAGTCTGTCTAAGAATATCATTTAACTGAAAAACATTTAGTGTATTAAATTTGTTATTAAAGACATTTTAAAAACAATGCCCACTTGATGTACATTGAGAATTCAGTCAGTAAACATTTTTTAAATGATGTTACCTTTACATTAGGTAACCACATCTTGTCCATCCAACCCTTAAATCTGGCATTGCTTGTGTACAAATGACCATCTTTCAACTGTTTACTATTAACTTCCAGGTCTTCCATTGTCCTTGAATTGGCTATAAGCCGCAACCTATGTTGAATTGAAATCATTTTGTTGTTTTTACACTCTGCAAATACTAGCAAAGGAAAAACATTTTCATGGAATTGCTGTACAGATTCAGAAATCGGAACTGTAACAGTTATATATACTTTTACATTTTAAAGAGTATCTACATTTATATGATAAAAATAATAACCTGTTCTAGGACACTATTATCTGCTAAATAATGATGTCATATCAGATAACCTATCTAACACAAAGTTAAAGGGGGTGGGGGTAAGATTTTGATTCTAAAGACATAGAGATTAAGGGCTTGACTAACCGTCAATTATGGACCAATTCACTTTTAAAACATAAATATGTTTCAATACATTCAGATGATATAACAGGAGCCACCCAAATACCAAGTGGAGGCAAGGCTCTTATGATTTTCTCTTTCCAAATGTAAGTAAATTTGGGGTACCACATTGTTCGGGATGGTTTGACCTATATACACTATGTACTATATATATTTTGATATATTCATAATGAAGAAATATATATACATTTCATCAATTCTGATTGACATGCTCATATTACTTTTTTGTACATACCATGTCCAATTTGTGGGGTCTTGCCTAAGTAGGTATATTAATAATATATTGCTCAAATATTCTTTCACTCAATTTTTTAATATATCAAAATATTTAATTTGCTTTTATAAAAATATATATGAATACATTTTAACTGTTTCTTCTCTAAAAGATGTTGCTCCATTTTTTGAATTTTTCAACCATCTATCCCAAGCCTGCTCTCGGTGAAAAGCACATGTGAACACATTGACTCCTGAAATGAAAATAATAATAAACTTCTAGTAAGATCATAAAAGCTGTTAGCACAACAAGAAAATGTTAATTCATAAAATTTAACTATTGGCAAAGTTTTTTTTTGGAAACAATGGTTGGTCCTTTAGCTATAAATCAATATTAACCCCAAAAGACACAAATTCGTTTGTAGTTACTTCAATTCTTTGGGTCCATTGAACCCCAATTAAATACTTTGTGGTTCCATTGTAGTTCTAATTAATCTTAAATTCAGTAAATGAAAACTGTTAAGAAGTTTGTATACAGTGAAAAATCTGTATAATAAAAAGTCTGACATCCATACCAATAAAAATAATCATTTTCTGAAATTGATACAATATTTTATGAAATGCAGTATTCATACCTTCAAATACCCTTTCACAGGCATTGATTTCTCTCTGATCAAGGTCACACATGAAACCTTTAGGCCTCCATCCAGGATTCCACTGCTTTATAATGGATAAAGCTTGGCTTATCTCATCACTGTTGTCATTACCAATTATAAATGAGGCAACCACATGGTACCCCATGTTGGTGAGCACACAAATGAAGTATAATGGTAAGTTATACTTTGTTGTTTTAAATGTGCTGTCCATTAAGACCAATTCTTGCCCATACCGTTGTAATAAGCGCCTTTGGAAATTGGTTTGATGGACAAACATCAGGCTTGAGATTAAACCATCCTCACTAAGACTCCTGAAATATAGAATACAAATTTAAACTTTAAGCAAGAGCTGTCTTTGAAAAAGACTTGTGCCCCAAAATATATGCCAAATAACGGTAATAAAATATCATTCATAGAATTTAATTGAAATTCAATCAGCAGTGTACGAGATATAGTCAAATCAAATTTTACTAAAAAAAATCAACATCAAGGGCTCATAACTGTGGGGAAAAAAAACATGCACAAAATCATTGCACAATGCAAACAATTTTATGAATGTTCACTGAAATTTCCCCAAGTGGATTTGGAGATGAAGGATGGACAAAGTTAATTAACTGAAAAATCACAATATGTTGCACAGCTAGGCATGGTAACAAACAACCCTGTGAAGCTACAGTTGATTTTTCCATAGCAAATCGGATATGCAAGGACTACTACAATTGATAACTTTTGCAATACAGAGAGCTACTGACCAGTACGTGTAGCTACAGACGAAGCCAGAATTTATTTGTGGCTCTTTCGTGGGCGTATTCCATGAATATGTGACAGGGTATAAAATATGAACACTAATATGATATCTCCCTACAGCAGTGTCAAATAAAACACGCACACACACAAAAAACTCACGCAGGATTGAAATGAAATTTATCCAATGGATGCTCTTTCTTCCATCTATGTATTTCTTCCAGCATCTGTTTCTGATCATCTTTCTTGTACCTGAATATTCATTCAATCTGTTTCATTACATTGTATTAGCAGTAAATATTGTTTCTAAAATAGAATATTACAACATACATTATAATTTGTGCGTTGATAAATACAATATCTGTCCTACAAAGTCGTGTACAATGGTTATAAAACAAAAATATAATGCCCATGCATAAAATAATTTTGCTTATATGTATCTCCATCAGTTTGAAGTATAATAGGAAACATTATTTCAAGAAAGTATATGCATTCATAAAATATTAAAGCATTAATACAGGCTGAGGTGTGTGTATGTGGCCCACATCATAAACTGTCTTTTTGTGACGGACGGATAGACGGACGGACAGACGGACGCACGGAGAAGTGATCCCTATATGTCGCCACTACTCTGTAGAGGCAACACAAAAATGAAACACTGACATAATGTTAGGTAACGTAATTATGATGTTGGAGCTAGGGCTGCGTTACTAGGTAGCCTTATAATTTGTTCTGTGTCATCAAATTAAATGATATATTGCTGATTTTTGGCAGATTCACTCAGTGGCATGGCTGAGAAGTTAATGCGTCGGACTAGTAATCTAAGGATTGCTGACCATGCAGGTTCAAACCCTGTCAGGGCAAGCAGTTGCTTCATTCAGCGAGAAACTATATATTCATTGCTAAGAAATGGTTGGTTCCAGGAACGGATTTGAGTCTTTCAATAAGCTCATAGCTTCCAAGACAATCAAACTAAAATAAATCTGTATAAACTCAGCAATAGCATATCAATTATCAGTAAAAATATTTAAGAATTCCATTCAGTATTATGTTTTAATGCCGTTGTTCACGACTTATTGGGACAGCCCTCGTATATACCACAGCACACCTGAAATTTATTTTGATTATTAACTATGCTGTACTAAATATTTGAAATAGTCTTGTGTTTCTTTCAATTTGGACAGGACAGTACAATAATTCATTTTTAGCAAAAATTAATTAAAACGTTCAAACTTTTAAGGGGAAATTGCAGACCATCATCAGAAAGTCAAGATGTACAATTCATCATGACTACAAGGATAAGGGTAAACAATAAATGATACGTTATCAAGGACAAAACATTCCAGTAAAATGCTAATTTAAATGACCAGCTCATTTTCAAGCTAACCTGCCATGAAGAGCAGCAGAAATATGGTTTTGGATGTCTTTTCTGGTTGGGTTAAATCGGTGACTTTCCGAACATTCCCGAACCTCCTTCATCTTCCAGATATCTAAGTAATGCTTAACTTCATCGCAACTTTTAACACCCTCTTTGTTCACCAGACGTCTTATTTCGAGTTTAAAACTTTCTTCGACAGGCAGACTGAACTCTGCATCCTGTATATCATGTACAATTTATATTCAGCAAACATGAGAATATGTATGAAAAACAAACAACAAAAGTCTAATTATACTGATAAGATTGTTTTAGTAGCATGAATGATAATCATGTGACTTTGTTAGGAAATCAAAACAAGTAATGGCAGCTGCAGATAATACTCAGAAAGTAGTAAGTTTCAACCGAGGGTTCAAAGAAATTGATAAGTAGGCAAATGTATCTAATTTTTCATTATAATACACTTTACCATTATACCCTTGCGATGTTGTAAGAAAATCAAACATCAAGAAAGTTATTAAATACATACATGCATATGTAGATGGTTTTGTGTTAAAGTAAGAAACAAGTTTGATAAACACAAATCCCTTTGTATGTTGCTTTACAAGATCATGTACTTTGTATTGATTATTAAGTGTGTTAATTATAAAGCCATTGGTACAGGTAAAACTTATGATAAATCTGATTTGCCGGTTTTTCTTTCGGTTGCCATGGCAATCAGAGTTTTGCATGGAATTAAATTCTTTCAACAATTTTTAAAGTCGACTGCTGGTAAATATTGGATCAAATTGGCTTAGCAGTTTATCAGATGTTGTTTTCAGTAAAAGTTTACGGCTGGACTTAAAAATCAGACAGAATTGTACAGATATCTAAATCTCTGTCTTAAAGATCAAAGCAGCAAACTTATTCCATGTATATATTCACATATATTACCTCTCCCATAAAATGAGCAGAATGCTCCCCAACACTCTTCATATAAACAACAATTTCCTTGTCATTGTCGGACAGTTGGCACATTTTTATATTGCGAACAACTTCCTCCTTGTTTCGTCTTGTACATGGACCCTGTAACTGTGACAAGAAATATTACATTTATATCTTGAATGAAAATGGCACAACAATAAGGAAATTTATATCAATGTTAAATCTTGGAATTTGTGCATTTATGTATCACAATGTCCTGAAATAGTTTAATGGTGACATCACCAAAACAAGCAATCTTTCTGCAGTGATAAAGTTTTGTATTGAATGCATGGAAAGCAATATGAGGTGGATTTGTTAGAAAACACAAAAGAAGGCTTTACAGCTTTTAATATGCATGTATCAGTATAACTCTTACACTTACTTGCACTGTATGAGACATTTCAAGAACATAGATTTTATAGCGCTGATAAACTAAAACAGACAGCATAATTTTGTTTAACTGGTGTGAAACTTCTCAATGGTTTGCGGCTAAGAAAAAAGGAAACTAAATAGGAAACTTTATCAAACAATATGGACAGCACTTTGAAAAATTATTTATATTACATAATACATGTACATTCTCAATGATATGACACATAGGGGATCAACTACAACAAAAGTTGTTTTTTTTATAAATCATATGTAAACTCAATTTGTTCCTTGTATTTAGAGTTAAAAAGGCTATTTTAATTGTCAGACTAAAACATCATAATATGATATTTTGTTAGAACCATCATAAATGCTATTTCATGATGTCCTAGGCACAAGAGCTTTTCATGTGTCCATAGTGAGAAAACAGTTCAATGCTGCAATGACGTGATAAAACTTGTAATGGGAGAATCATGGCATTATCATGGCATTGTATCCATTAGTATCTACATGTATGCTGATATGAAGCTATTAATACTTATTACAGTTAAAATACATACTGCTGTTCTTAATTAAAGTTTATGCCTATTCAAGATGCCTATGTACACATATGTACTCAAGAATGGCAAGTTTACAAGATTATTTATTAATCACAGTGATTAATGCTGTTTAATTTACATTTGGACAGAATAAAATTCTGGCAAGCTTATTACAGTGATCATGTCTTGCTTTACTATCACTAGAATAAGATGCTGTGGTCAATTTCTGGATTTACAAAGGATATGTGAAATCAGTTGATTGAATCAATTATAAGAAATATATACATGTAACAACATTTTTATGAAATGCAAAAAATGATGTACCAATTATGATTTTGAAGCACTAGTACAATTTAGTTTTTTGTAGCTTATATTTTGCTATATGACAAAAATCATGTTTGTTTGCCATTAAAAGGCCACCAAACTTCAAATTTTTAATTCAAAATAAGGAAAAAAACAGTACCAGTCGATGATTTTAAGATTTTGAATTTACCAACCTGAATTTTAGTTTTTAATATATATTCTACTATGTACTTAACTAAATTTTCTTAAAATTTTCACTGGCCCGAAATAATTTTCAATGGCCATGGGCCACCAGGCCAGTGCTAAATTTGATGACTGCAGTACAAGTACTCCATGCACAGGGAATTTGAAAATCATTTCCATAATTTAATTTAAATATTTTAAATTAAACAATTATTACCATATGATTAGGAAACTTCATAATGATACGAAATTTGACCTTAGCTGCACAACCAACTTTCTTTGACACTTGAATCAATCTTCTTTTACGTCGGAAATCATGACTTGCTGTAACCTACAAAAAATTTAAATTAACATTTCTTTATCAGTAATAAAAATCTATTGGGTAAACATACATGTCATTGCATCATCACAACAACTTTTCTCATATGCATTTTTTTCTGTCAGTATATTTGGTAATAATAGTTACATTGTATTCACAGTGATTTTTTTTCAATTTTTAAAACATTTTTTTTACCTGTGGCTTTCTGAAGGGGAAAATATAGTGCGATAAATCAGAAAAGGGGGAAATCAAATTCAAACAACTGAGAGTGGAATTCACCCACACATTTTATAAAATTTTTAATTTCAATTCAATTAATCATGCATGGTACATAGCAGAGGCTATAGGGATTCTAGCTGATATAACAAGCAAATTCGTTGAATTTATATCCCCCGCCGAGTACTGGTTATTATTTACATAACATCTGAAGACATAAGGCTTTATTTATATATTAATCATGGCATAAACAGTAATATTTTTTGAACTTGATAAATATTCAGGGCAATAACAGAGCCATAACTTTGTGTTAAATAGTAAAATCTGGAAATGCCAATGAGATGTATGCATACTACATAACTAATCAAGGGCCATAAATCTGAGTTATAAGTATCTGACAGCCAGTAGTTGCAGAGAACTACTCCAGAAACAAAATGCGGACGGACGGATGGATGGACGGACGGACAACGCCAAAACTATATCCCCCTCCCGATTCCATCGGCGGGGGATAATAAGTCAGATGCTGTTATATAATGGTTCTGGTGAAGTGCACAGGGCATTACAGGGGAAAATATTAGCTTTTTTTAGGGGAAAATATACCTATTTTTAGCGAGGGGAAACAGCCTTTATTCGGCTGTAAAATACAGGGAAAAAAATCACTTTTTCAGGATTCAAAGTCACAGCAAAATATATCATTAGAGAACAGTTGTGTTTATTCCACTTTCTGATATGAAGCTATGACAAATGATCTGTATTGGAACAATAATACCTAAAGAGTCAAGTCATTACGCTCAGGTGAGCTTAAATCCAACTTGCCATTTCAGGTTAACCTAGTACAGACAGATGGTTGAATGATTATATACCTCGGGGCATAAAAATCTGGTTGAATATCAATTCCTGTGACATGCAATACAAAGGAATATTGTTTTATCAACACAAAGTATAAGTTAACTCATCAAATAATGCACATCTACCTTTTCTCTGTTTCCCTTCTTCCTCTTCTGGCCCTGATGGCAGGCCCGGATTTCTGTTCCGAGGTGAACAAATGGAACACGATCAAATCTTACTGGGATATCCCCTCTCAGGTCTTCAAATTTTATGGTGCTATTTAAAATATTTAAACCAGTACCATCTGAAATTTTTTTTTTTATATATATATATATATATATTCATTTTTAAGCATATCATTCTCTCTTTTAAATAATAAGCGGAAATATATTCAAGAGAAATACATGAGCCATGTAATTTTTGTTCATTATAAGACAATTTACGGAAAAGTTTACAATGTTTGACAATGATAATTACCTTGCATCTATAAAGGAAAGTATAATATTCATATATCATACATCATTGCACATCAGAAAAGACAATGCAAATGATAATGACAGACATTATGCTATCACTTAAAACTCAGCTGAGCAAAGAAATTATAAACTCGAACTTTACCTCTTTAATAGCAAAACTGTATAATCCACATATAAAAAGTTTCTTCATCAATCTCTAGTCTCAAATAACTGTAAAATAACTGAAAACAGGGAAACAATCAACAGTTTCAACAATCAATTTCATACCTTTCCGCAGCGGCTGCTCTGCGATGCCTGAAGAATGAACCAAGAAAGTATGGCACTTAAACTGCTAAAAGTATATTCCCTCATTGTGAAGACTTACAGTTTTGAATTACATAAGCCATACACATGAGAAAGTACACCAATGCACTATGCCAAATTCTTGGAGAAAAGAAACATTAGAAAGTTGAAAACAAAACAGTAACAGAAAAAACATCAACTATATGCATTGGCAAGCATATTTAACCTTTGGGTAAATCTTTAATTATACCCACCATTATATTTTCCAGTCGAAAAGATATAGATCTCAGTCTAACAAGTTTGATGTAAAATAAATGTAGATACTTAAGATGAAACTTAAAAAGTCTTCCATTTGCAACTGTTTTCTTTCTTAAAACACTTTTTTCTACTATTACTTATCTTTTTCAAGGATTTCATTTCTTTAAAGATGATAAAAAAAAAATTTGCTTGCCAATACGTTTTTAAAAAAACACACAGAAAAGTCTTTAACAAGGTAACTATACAGTATGTGTACCCTCTGTGTAAAAATATGGGGATCATTTGAAATAACTTAATGAAAAGACATCCAATTGAGGTAGATTATGACTGTGTCAAAGAAATGCGCTCTGAAAATTTCACGAATGACTCAATCGTGAAATTATTTCGTAAAAAGAAAAACAAGAAAAAATCAGTAGCAGAAACACTGTAATTTGATATAATATAATTTATTTACACCTATCTTTAAGTCTGGGGAAATTTGGGCGGCCCAATCTAGGTCGATCATGGTGACTTCAAGTAGCCTCAAATCGATCCAGGATCTTGTGAACAGTGGCTCTGGAAGAAGGAAATTGAAATTAACCACAAAAGAAACATCCAAGGCTGATTGTTCTTGCAAAAGAATTTTAAAGTATTCAGCAAGTGAAAAAAATCATCAATTTAAGTAACGAACCTTCCTATTCCCAGAATGTTGGCAATTTCTGAAGCAGCCAATCCTTGACTTCTCACGGTTTTACAGCGCACTCTATCTTCAAACGGAACCATTATATTGTAGTGAAACATTCACTAGATTGACCATGGAAGTTATGTTGATATTTGGACAGAAATTTTTTATAGATTATTAAAGGTTTTTGAAGTGATCGAAAACACTAGTTAAGTTTAGTTTTCTCTAAAAAATATGCAAAACTGTAAGTTTGTCATATAAATATGAAAATCTTATGATTTTTTTAACATTTTTTATGCCAAAAGATAATAAATGGAGGTAATATTATATTTCAAACAATAAAACTGCATTTGCTGGACAGATTTTGCCAAGATTACCCAAAAATTTGTGAAATGTTATGTGTCTCCAGACTTTTGATGGGCACTGTAGATTATTCCAAATAGTAACTGGTGTGTATTCTTGTGCATAGTGCCTCCTGAAACCTTCCACCCAGAAATGAAATCCTGCAAAAATACATCAAAACAACCTTTAAAGTACTCAGAAATGAAACTTTATGTACACAATTACTAAAGATATACTTAAAATATAACCAGTATCAATTAAGATGACTTGAAATAGGCCATTTCAAAATTTAAAAGAACTACTTTCTAGACTACAACGGGCTGGGTCTAATTCCGTACCGGGTTGAGACCATTTCCGTAGTAATCCGTGAACGATTAGACCGTAGCTCTTCCGTGGCATTATCTGTAAATATGTGACCGGGGCATAACGAACAATAGCCCATAAGGAATGTAGAGATAGAAACCCTAACAGTGTCATTATAAATGCCAATTATAGGCAATTGCCACTATTCAATTAATTGGTAAACAAGATATGTTTGTAAAACATGTATGCCCCCTATCAGCAGCCAATTAGTCATGTGATGAGGTTATTATGCATGACTTCTGACCCAGTGATCAAACAATTAATAAGGGTTATCAAGTATCTACTGGTCATGACCTTGACCCCTTGACCAAAAACTCAATAGGGGTCATCTGCTGGTCACGACCAATTATCATACAAAGTTTGAAGTTCCTAGGCCTAAGCGTTTTTAGTTAATTGATCAGAAACCGTTTTTACCTACAAGGTCAATGTGACCTTGACCTTTGACCCCTTGACCCCAAAATCAATAGGGGTCATCTGCTGGTCATGACCAATCACCATGCCAAGTTTGAAGTTCCTAGGCCTAAGGGTTCTTTTATTATTGATCCGAAACCGTTTAAACATACAAGGTCAATGTGACCTTGACCTTTGACCCCAAAATCAATAGGGTCATCTGCTGATCATGACCAATCACAATGCCAAGTTTGAAGTTCCTAGGCCGAAGCGTTCTTTAGTTATTGATCAGAAACCATTTTTACTTACAAGGTCAATGTGACCTTGACCTTTGACCCCTTGATCCCAAAATCAATAGGGGTAATCTGCTGGTCATGACAAATCACCATACCAAGTTTGAAGTTCCTAGGCCTAAGGGTTCTTAAGTTATTGATCAGAAACCGTTTTTACTTACAAGGTCAATGTGACCTTGACCTTTGACCCCTTGACCCAAAACTCAATAGGGGTCATCTGCTGGTCACGACCAATCATCATACAAAGTTTGAAGTTCCTAGGCCTAAGAGTTTTTAGTTAATTGATCGGAAACCGTTTTTACCTACAAGGTCACTGTGGCTTGACCTTTGACCCCTTGACCCCAAAATCAATAGGTCATCTGCTGGTCTTGACCAATCACCATACCAAGTTTGAAGTTCCTAGGCCTAAGGGTTCTTAAGTTATTGATCGGAAAGCTTTTTTACCTACAAGGTCAATGTGACCTTGACCTTTGACCCCTTAACCCCAAAATCAATAGGGGTCATCTGCTGGTCATGACCAATCACCATACCAAGTTTGAAGTTCCTAGGCCTAAGGGTTCTTGAGTTATTGATCGGAAACCGTTTTTACCTAAGAGGTCAATGTGACCTTGACCTTTGACCCCTTGACCCCAAAATCAATAGGGGTCATCTGCTGGTCATGACCAATCACCATACCAAGTTTGAAGTTCCAAGGCCTAAGGGTTCTTTTGTTATTGATCGGAAACCGTTTTCACCCAAGAGGTCAATGTGACCTTGACCTTTGACCCCTTAACCCCAAAATCAATAGGGGTCATCTGCTGGTCATGACCAATCACCATACAAAGTTTGAAGTTCCTAGGCCTTAAGGTTCTTTAGTTATTGATCGGAAACCATTTTTGCTTACAAGGTCAATGTGACCTTGACCTTTGACCCCTTGACCCCAAAATCAATAGGGGTCATCTACTGATCATGACCAATCACCATACCAAGTTTGAAGTTCCTAGGCCTTAAGGTTCTTTAGTTATTGATCGGAAACCGTTTTTGCTTACAAGGTCAATGTGACCTTGACCTTTGACCCCTTGACCCCAAAATCAATAGGGGTCATCTACTGGTCATGACCAATCACCATACCAAGTTTGAAGTTCCTAGGCCTAAGGGTTCTTTAGTTATCACTCGGAAACCATTTGGTCTACGGACCGACGGACCGACAAGTGCAAAGCAATATACCCCCTTTTCTTCGAAATGGGGGCATAATTAATAATATCTGATTACATATTTGTACCAGCTCGGTTTCAGGTACAAAAGCAAAGACAAACTTTCTACAAAAGAAATGTTAGAAGTTTTACTGTGGTCAATATAGTATTTTGACGATACGATAAAATTAACAATTCGTACATATGTACTATCGGTGTTAAGCTAGACACGACCTTGCTAATTACAACGTCTCACAATGATATATATAACAAAATGTGTCGGTTGGGGTATGAATCACATTTAGTGATAGCTCTAGTATTTAATTTAAGTCAATATTCTAAATGCTTTTCAAACTACGCATGACGTATGTTAAAATTTAGATACAATATAGAAATAGAATGCACAATCATATTTGAAACAAAGCAAGAACGTAGCAAGTAGAACTACTGCGCTCAATGATAAAGACTGATATCTGGTAGAAACATTCGGAACTGCCTCGGCTATTATCTATAATAACCTCGGAAACAATATGGATTGAAAGTAGTTCTACCAC